ACCAAAAATTAAAATGAGACTAAATTGAAACAAAAAAACATTGTAAGAGACCAAAAAAGGTATTTAACTTATCTATTTTGACATATCATCAAACTTTATTAAAATTAAAAATTGAAAAATTTAACCAAAAAAAAAAAAAGAATTAATCTATGTCTCTTCGTCTTTGATCAAGTCCTGAGTGTTTGTTTAACACCTTTGTGTTTCTCTCTCACAGCTTAATTTTATAGTTATCTTATATCAATTTGGTTCATTTATATGGCAATAATGTACAAATTGCAAGTAACTCAACCTCAATGGAAGTAATTTTTAAGGTGAGGGGTCCAAGAAGAACTCATCTGGAGTTAAAAATATCATTAAAATAAATATAAAATTATATTTGTGTTCTTACATAGTATGTCACATCATATTTTTAAGAATAAAAATTAAAATTAAAAAATTTAATAATTAATAGTTGTCAATTTGACAAGGGATGAAAATTACATATAAAAACTAAATATTTTTATTCTAAGATAGAAACATAAAAATTACGGTTCGACAAAAATTAAAAGATTAAAAATATAATTTAACTAAATAAATAAATATTGAGATCGAATTTTTTTTTTGTATATTATGAATCTGATTATTTATTTTAATAATATATCTTGTGATTATTCTTAACCACGTATGATTAAGAATTATTTGGGCCCCTCATTTTAGAATTCACCTATCTGCTGATATGCAGAGATTATAACAACCACTACTTGTGTCTACATGTAAAGCATGGAATAAGAAGGTACTAGTACTTGTGGTAATTTGTTAGCAACAAAATACAATGATGCTAAGCAGAATTAGGAATGCCAACGGCGGTTCCACGCGACTTTTGTTTTTCTTGTCTCCATCCAATAAGTTGGAGTTTGAAGAGATGAGTTTAAATTTAAAAATTCATCTTTATTTCTATCAACTTTTATTAGATTCGACCAAAATGCATAGGATTCATTACATTATTTTTTAGAATTTTGGTTTACTTATATATTTTAAAAAATTAAATTATAAGTTAATAATTATATTATAATATAAATAATATATAAAAATAATAAATAACAAAGCACTTGTAAATAAAAATTTTAAATATTATATTATATTTTTAATTAAACATATAATTTTAAGTTTGTTACTTAGTTATTGTTATAATTTAAATTATATAATTACTAGCAAGAAAAAGACACTTCATATTTATATTGTATTAAAGAAAAAATAAATAAATAAAAAAGAAAAAAAATGAGAAATTACTCATAAAAAAAGATAGTTATTAATAAATAAATAAAAAATAAAATGGTCTATGTAAAAATGGATACTAAAAGTAGTTATTGAAAGTAGTATCTTCTTTATACATATTAGTATAGATTAAAATATTTAATTTGTATTTTAGTATATTATAAAAATTAAAAACTATATATATATGTGTGTGTTTTTTTTGCCATAAAAAAACATAATGGGATGAGATGAGCGTTACATGAATCCAAATCCAATTTTTTAAGTTGGAGAAAACTCGTATCCAAGACTGCATTTAATTAAAGTGGATTTTTTTCATTAAAATTAAGTCAAAATCAAAGAAATATCTGTGAGTGTAAATTTAGTTGTAGAATATTGATGCAACCCTAAGAAAAGATATCACATTTATGGTGGCATAAAAGATGAGAATAGTAGGATGGCATGTTAGAGCACCCACCCTCTTCTACGTCAATGCTTAAACATAAAACTTTATCTTTACCCAAAGAAAAAAATCTTTAATTCATTTAGACTTCATCTATTCAAGTGTTTGCAAGCATATTATTCATAAGAGAAATTACAAGTGTTAAGAAAAAAGTGGAGAGACTTGGAGCAATTAATGATTTTATTTTTAATTTTTAAAATTTGATTTAAACTTTTAATGGGTATGATGACCGATTGACCGTAAAAAGATTATATATACCAGTGGGGAAATGCCTCCATTATTTTTTAAAAAATATTTTTGATTAGTTAGATATTTACATAAAGCAGAAAAAATATATAAAAATAAAAAATAGTAGAAAAGAGATAATAGGAGGGTTTAAAAAGAAAGTTGTTATAAGAAGAAAATCGCTTAAAGAATTGTATACACCAAATCATATTACTGTCTATATGTATATATTAAAATAATTTTGTTCCAAAAAATAAAAAGATATATTTTCACCTCACTACTCGATAAGTAAAAATCAAACATAAAATTTACCCTCCTCCCCCTCCCTCCTCTTTATTGTGATTCTCTTTCTCTAAAATTTCATTCATTGTCTCTAAAAATTTGGAGGAAGTTTATCTTTGTTACCAACAAATTCATATTATTATGCATATAATAACTAATTTATTGTAGTGAAATATTCACATATCATGGGACTCTGATGCTAAAACCCATAATTCTTTATCTTACTTAATTGACTAGTTATTTTTATACAAGTCAAATAGACTAACTCCTTAAAATACAAGATGATCAATAATTTGAGATGTACACAATTAAAAAATCAGTCGGCTCACGAGTGAGAAAGATACACAATCTTGTAGTCTTGAGCTTTTAAGAAACTAAAACGTAATTTAATAGACAAGCCATCCATAATATAGGAGGGTACAAAATTCTTCAATCTCAAATCCTTATGAAGGCCAAGAGACTATAAAGTAACTTGTTTTGATATGGAGATCGTACAAAGAACAATATAGTGTATAATTAATTTACTAGGTCGATTGATCCACAACTTATCTCACCATGAACTAAAACGTCTAAAAATTTTCTTATCTCAAGTATTCATAAAATAAAAATCTCAAATATCTTGATAGAAAATAATTTGAAAGTTTTAGGAACGTAAAAACAAAATGATACTAAGATCAAATTTTCTTCACAAAATAAGTGATTGGTAAAAAAATAAAAAGGAGATCAAATTTCATGTTATTCAAGCTAAAGGAATAAAAAATGTGTTTCTTTCTCTGTTGTATAATGGGCCAACATTATATTTTATGGGCTTACAGGACAAGATACAGGACCAATTGGATATTGATTTTAAAAAAGGATAACACTTGAAAATACACTTTTTTAAAATCAAGATACAGGACCAAAAAATTGAAAATGAATGAAACCACAACAGAACACAAGAAGCAACAAATTATGATGGCAGAAAGGAAGAAAATTGGAAGAGAAATGTAGGTGAGAGTGAGCACGAGAAGAAAGGCACAAAAGAAGGCTGACATCGGCATGACCAAGTTAGGGAGGGCTTGCCAGCTCCAGAATTGCGAATCAGAGGTTGTCGGAGTTGGGCAAAGAAATCAGACAAGGTATGTTTGAGGAAGAAGAAAGTGAGTTCCAGGGAAAAAAAAAAGTGCGTGAATTGGATTCATTTTTAGTTCCAATCTAATTCAATGTAATCTACATAAATCGAAATTGGAAAATTGAAAAACTAAAAATTAAAAAAATTAATTTTCTTTAATTGAATGTATCAACTTTTAGTTCTAATTAGAAAATCAATCCAACTATTGTCTTCTTTTTTTTATTGGTATTATATATTAGTAAATAATATATTGACTATTAAATGTTTAAAATAAATCTATTGATTTACTAATTCTTTTTTAAGTGAGTGATTTTTAACAAGAGATTGGATTGAATGATTTTTTTTTTTTCAAAATCAATTCAATCCAATCGACAAACACTCTTATCTAAAATCATATTGTACAATAATTTAGTGATAATGGTGTAGTAAATTGTTGTAAAAAGTTATTTTTATATTTAGTTTTTGAGTAGCCATGACATTGAAATGAAGTATTTATCATTGGAAACAACAACCAATCTTTGTTAAAGACCATAACATACATAAAGTGAACATGTTTTTCTGAACATACACTGATGTAGCTTATGAAAATAAGGTAATTTTAACTCGATAACCTTTTTGCTTTTGTCATTTTCATTCGTACTAATTTATTTGAAAGTTATTTTTTATCTTAAATAATTAAGAAAAATTTATGTATTTTACATTTATTAGATAACTTAGCTAGTAACTATTACTAATAAACAATTTCATTTCATTCAACTGGCTTAAAGATTTTACATTTTAGCTCTTGATTTACATGTTTTAGTTAACTGTTAGTTTTATTGAATACATGTTAAGTAATCAAGTCTTACCATAAACATGGTTTAATTATTCTTTTAATCCTTATAGTTTTATAAACTTTACATTCTTGTTTTACTTTTAACAATATTTCATTTTAATTTTTATACATACTATTTTTGTTCCATTTTAAGTCCTAATTGTCTATTCCTATAAGAACAAAAAGATAAAGTTCAAAAGCATTAGCAACACATTTTCTCGTGTACTCTTTTAAATAATTCTCTCTAATTGGTTAATTTTATTGAAAACCCAAAATTCGATGGATCTTATACCCTATTTAATAACTCTCTTTCTTCATTTTGTAGTTTTCAATAAATTTTATCCAATAAAAATGAATATGTTAAAATGAGTGTGTTAAATATAGAGTATATTAAAAGGAAAAAAAAATATGTATAAAGACTAAAATAAAATATTTTTAATCACAAAAATAAAAAATAAATTCAAAATTCATGAAATTAGGTGAACCTCAAGAGTAATGAAACCCAAGACCATTCTTCGAAATTTTGAGGCCATTAATGATAGGTGGATTTGTGTATGTTGGGGAGTAGTACTGTTTTGTAATTTGTAGGCTGCTTTTTGAGCAGCATGTCATGAACATAATAATAAGAGCCTATTATTGTCCGTAATGGGTAAGTAATGTTGAGACTTGAGATATAAAATTCAAATAATAGGTAAACCACTGCTTTCACCTTTATCTGACTAAGGAAAAAAGAACATTTTTAATTTAAAGGTAGGAGAGGAGTTGAACAACCGAACCATTCTATCTTACACTGCCAAATAAAATTCACAGTAATAACGTATCCGGCAACGATCCACGCAATGCAAAACTATACGTTAACTTTTCTACCGTTCGAATTGGACAGAATAAAAATGTTCATGTTATTGTAACAACTAAGAAATTCAATCATAACAATACGAGTTGGGCAAGAGAATATTAAACAAACAAAGCAAAACACAAACACTATTAATCACTGAATATCTGACACACGCACGCTCACAATTGATCACACGAAGTAGGAACGAAGGAAATGGTTTCTTTCTGGAGATCATGGTTGACCAAAATGTTCTGCTGTTGAACATTCCCGAATATGGACATGCCACTGGAAGAACCCATGGCAAGGCACGCCACTCCCAAATTGGAGTCACCAATCATGTAATTCTCAGCAGGAAGCTGCAAATCCCCACCCTTGAAGTGAAAAATCACTTGTGGAACCTCCACTTGTGATGTCCCTGATGTCACAGAAAAACAAACATCAAGGCCAGTTGAGCCAGACTTGTCCAAAGGAAGCTTCGTTTGTGAAATGAACTCCTTCTTGAGTGCATCAAAAGCCTTGGTTTCTAAGTATGTGATTGTGGTGCCAGAGTCTATGATCACACCACCACTCCCATCATCCCCCAGTTCAAAAGTGGACTTCTCAATGTCCAATAGGGTCTCCCCCACAGTGATTCCTTCAAGGGAAAGATAGTAAAAAGAGGGTTGCAAAGGGTTCTTGAGAAGAGGCGTTGTCACTTCTTTTGCACCTTTCGCATGCTCCAAAGACCCCAACAAGAGAACACTTTTCTTCGTGTCATCTATAGGGGTCAAACAATAGGAAAATCTAGGTTCATTGAGTTGAGAAACCAAAGACAAAGGACCACGTCCTAGACCAACCAACCCCGAGGCTTGTTCAAATCCATCACCTTCATTATCCTCTCCACAACCAAAAGCAATGTTGTGAACCTCGTTCTCACCAAAGGTGAATGTCTCGGTGGCCAAAACTCCTTGTGTGGTTGAATAGTCACCGTATGAATACACATACTCACACCCATCACTGCATGACGAGGAAGGCAAAGCACTACACAAGGTGTTCCCGCATGAAACCTTGGAGAAAGAAGAGGATTTTCTAGGGTCAAAGATTGGTGTTGGTTGCTTGTAACACTGTGTGCAAGGCTTGCACTGTGTCCAAATGAGGTCACTTCCAGTGTCCAAAACCGCAGGGTAAGACTCTGGTGGGGTTCCAATGGCTAACTCCATCAAGTACTCTCCGTTTCCTGCATGAATGGGGGCTTCTAATGATTCGTCTGGTGTTGGTGTTGGTGTTGGTGTTGGTGTTGATGTTGCTGCCAACACCATTGCGTTCAGCCTCTGAAGCCTACCCTTGCCACGTTTGATCCCGTGTTGGACACGTTCTAGTTTGGTTAGGTTTTTCCCTGAGTCCACGTGGCGAAGCATGACTCGGAAGCCATTTGAACTAGGGTGATGGTGGTGGTGTAGGGTTTTTCTTGAAGTGGAGGAGGTTGGATGAAGGAGGAGAGCCACCACTAGGAGTGTCACCAATGTGACAAGTGATGATCGGTGTGGAACTTTAGCCATGTGCATGAGGGTGCACAATGTGGGAGAGAGTTATGTGTATAAGAAGGACTAAGCCAGGTTTGATGATATATAGAGAAATTGGTGATTTGATTTTTGTAACGTTCCCTTCGAATGTGGTGGAGAGGATAAAGGGAGGAAGAGAAGTTTGTTTCGTCGTGTGTTTGATGATGAATGGAGGTTGAGATATCAGCAACAAGTAAACCGAGTCTTGCGTTGTGGTTGGTAAAGATGTTATTTGTGGGACGTATCTAAGGCAACATTGTCGTGACAAAAGCCAAGAGTCTCTAACACGTACGGTTAAGAGTTCTTGGAGTTAAGGGTAAGGGAGAGAGGGTGGCTTAGCTTTGGGAATCATCTATTTGTATATATTTTGGACTACTCTTTTTCATTGGAGCAATTATGAATGGCGATTATTACTATCGATGTAGATCATGAATTGGGTGAACCACATAATTCGTATAAATCATTAAACCCGTATATATAGAAGTGGTATAGATTATAAAATGAGCAAGTATGAATATTATTATATTTTTTGTGTATACCACACCTTTTATTTCTCCTTTTAGAGCCCCCTATTATTCCTAATTCATTATTTTTCAGTTGGGTTTCGTCCACAATTGGTTTGGATAGGTTGGGTGGACAAACTGGTTTACTAATTGCTCCAAAGAGTGGAAACTGAGCTTTGTTTCAATTCCACGCATCCGAGGGGAGAAAAAGGTAGGTTGATGATCCTTTTTAGTTAGGTGAGAAGGCCCTAGAGACAAAGATATTATGCCAATTACATATTAATCCCTTCTAACTTCCAACTTTATATAACTTGCAACATTTGATATTCTTCACGGCTCAATACACGAGTTTACTTAAGATACATAACTACATATATGAACATATACCGTATTTATATTGTGTACAGTTTTCATTCAATGTAGAGTATTTAAACAATATAGGACTGCTAAACTTTGATTAGTCACTAAATAGTGGTGGTATTTGATCTAATGATCTTCAACATGTGATTCTTTATTATGGGAGTGTCATTTTTTATGTATCATTTTTAAGCACAAAAATATAGTTTTGGAATTCAAAAAATAAAATATTGTAGTCGAAACTGGAAACCAAATGATCATTGGACCTAATAATTTGGCTTGAAAGCGTGACTTGTTTTGCTCCCAGCAGAATTAATGCAGCATGCAGAATCAAAACCATTTGTTAACGATAATGTAATAGCTAAACTCCCCCGAACAGCTCAAAATACGTAATTGATGTGACTTTGAATTTTCAACACTACTTGACTACAACAACAACAAAAAAATTCTAGGAAGAAAAATTCTATAAAGTCTATTATTAATTTTTTTTGGGGAAGGAGGAAGGATGACAAAAAAAAAATCCATACATATAGATAACAGTGGGTAAAACCCACTATATGCATGTATTGAAAATGAATAATAATTAAATCGCTTAATAATAAGGTAGATGTGGATAGTAAAGTATTTGTAGATACATATACTTTGAAATGAAAAAAAAAATTTATATATATATAAAGTAATTCAATCTATTTATTTTTATTATGAATATATCTCATAATTATTTATTTTTATTAAAAAATGTTACAAAATTATTTTTTAATATAAATACATATTTTATAATTTATTTTTATTTTTATTTTTTTAATGCTACATTAGACAAATATTTATCAGTATAAAATATTTATTAGTAAAACCCACTATCCTAACCCACACACCACCCTTCCCATTGCTATCATGGGGGAGGGGGTATTAGTTTAATTTAGTTGACGAGGATCTTTAGGACTCCCTAAAGTCAAGGCACAAAGAATACTTATAATTACATATATTACTTATTACTAAGTTACCAATCAGATCCATATTAGGGATATAACAATGAGATGGAGTAGACACAGTTGGTACTTAGTAATCCTTTATTACTAACACTGTATCACACAGTATCTATTAAGTATTTACGAGTATTAATAGATCTTTTTTTATAAAAATTAAACCAAAACATAAAATAAAAAAACATATTTCTATACTATAAAAATTAACATATTTATTTTATATATAATTAATTAATGATATTTAAGTAATTACAATGTACAACTACATATAAATACGAGTACTCATTTCCACTCATTAATAAGCAACACTATCAAATTAAACCGTTTATTTACAATCCATTTCAAATTTTATTTACGAATATGTATGGATATTTTTTTTTCCGTCATATCTAATCCTTGTGTTGTATGGAATCAACCTCAACTTATCACTTTTGTTTACTTAAAATACATTTTGCACAGTTCATAAAAACTCAATTTTCACATTTTTCAATAAAAAGTATATTTCAATTATATTAAATTAATCTTTCAAATTAATTCTATCAGAATATACATTCCACCAAACTTTAAGAGAAACGAATCCTTAAAATACCAATATACTTGTTTATATAATACAAATGTTGATCTCCTAAATAACACAAACCGCGTTACATATTAGTTTTGCCATTTTAAGTTAGCAGGCATGTCCATTTGATTAGAAATGACATGATCCAGTGATAGGTTTAGGAAGATGACCTACATTAACCCAAAACAATAAATAAAAGGAGGCTGATCCAAAGTCATATTTGACCTTTTCCCTTTGAGTAAAGCTACGTCTTACTCAATTCTAGCATGATGTGAATGTGAATGTGAATGGGAACATGATTATGATTTCGGTGTTGCGTGCCATCTCTGATTCAACCTGCAACACTACACTAGCCTCTACAACGTGCTTCAATTTGTGCTCTGGTCAATTCATGTGTACATAAACCACATTGGTGGGGTACAATTATTTTGCCTCTATAATAATTGGTTAATTTCATACTTTGTTTGAGTATAAAATAGACTTCCATTATTTGAAGATATATGAGTCTCTCAATGATCGAGTCAACGAGATACATATGAAATGATTTTAATGTTATGCAACATATCGTTACCACACTAATAATTCATTCATTTAATTGCTTCTAAACCACTCATTTTACTGCTTTTCGATCCTTTACCGTTGCATATGTTTTGTGTCCTTCTGTAGGAGAGATTCTTGTGTAAACTGTTCCACATGATCTTGTTACATATTTTCCTTATTTAACATGGTTTTCTTTTATTACAAGAAAATAATTAAAATTTAATAAAGGGTAAAATATAGTTTGATTGTTTTCAGCACTCATAGAGCCTGTGAAGATGGTTAACCCAACTTATTTGACCCTATATAACCCATGTGGGTCAAGGCTAAAAATGTACATATAGAGTTAAAATATCTACACATAAAAAAAGTCCACATGATTTTATTTATTTATATCACATGTATCTTCTGTAGAAGAAAAACTTTTTGAACAAGATACAATATTAATAATTATAGGCAACAATTTTGAATATTTAATATATTGTATATCTAAGCTTCAAATTAAAGATTACTGATTAAGTTAGTAAAATTTTACACATGTTAATTTATTCACATGTTTCGTGATAATCTAGAAGAATATATGGATTTGGATCAATTATAATTTCTATACAATCAAGACATTCTTTTACTTGAAATATTTCTAAATTTAATGTTAATTATAAAATTTTTGAAAATTAATAAAAAAAATCTATTATAGAATATTTAATTAAAAAATTAAAATATACTTTTTTGGTTTTGATTGATTACTTGCAGCAAATTAATTTTTTTAGTTAGATATTAAAAAAAATCCTTACAAATAAAGAAAGATAGTTTGAGACATATTGGTCAAATTAAAGCTAATGTGGTCATGATAAAAAATTGTTTGGCAATTGATTATTAACTTTGATATGTAATTTTTTAATTAATTAATATATAATATAAAGTAAATTACCATGACGTTTATTGAAATTAAGTAATATTAGACTTTACATTTTTTACTCTTACATTAACTCTAATCATTTTTATAATTATGTTATTAATATAAAATATTTATCAACTTCATGATGAATTTCCATCAACAAATTTAATTGATTTTCCCCTCCCATCAACTTCTTAATAGTTGGGAAAAAAAATATTACAATGCAACTCATCGTGGAAGTTTTCATTAGTGTAAAAAAAAAAAAAAAAAACCTATAATTGAATAGAGTCGGAAGCCCTCTCTAGAGGACCATTAAAAATTTAAAATTCAATTTATGCTTTTAAAATAGTATTTATCACAAACTCTGTAAAATAATTTGACATTATTAATTAATCAGATATTATTAGTAAAACTTTTTATTTATGTTATATAAAAATCAACGACATATCATAAATAGTAATTCATCACTAAATGAGAATGTAAAATTACAGAGTACATTATCTATTAACAGCCAGCCAAAACTAAAGTTACAGTTAGACTTAGCTTTCAGTTGTGAGATAATATCCTGTTTGTAGTGGTAACATAACAGTGACAGCCAATCTATGACAGCGGCAACAACTATGGAGTCGATTGTTTTTACAGTTACAAAATATCTACCTAGCATCCTTTTAGAACATCACAAATTCACCTGATTAAACTATAAGAAATCAATTATTATTAAAGATATGTTTTATAAACTTCTACTACATTTTTAAGAGAGAAAAAAATAAGAAAAATTAAAATAATTTGTGCATAAACTATATTTAAATTATGTATAAGTTAAAAAAGTTAAACTAAAAACTAATAAAAATAAACTTTTATAAATTAGTTTATGTATATATTTATTTTAACTTATAATTTTTTTTTTCCATTTTTCTTCCTAAAAATACTTCTGAAAAAAATTATTTAAACATGTCTTGAGACTAAAACGAGTAGTTATTAGTGCATAACAACTATGATCAGAAGCACATTCAAATTAGAGTTTAAATTTAATGGACTTAGAGGCGTTTTTACCCTACATCATCCCTTTTATATCGACACATAAAAAATAAAACGTAAATTCTAAAAATTCAAAAAAAAAAAAAAACTCATGATATAATTATTTTAATGAAGATAAAGAAGACTATCTTTATAGTCCTCCATACAAGCACCAATTAAAACTTACACATGCTCAAGTCCTGCAATACGACCTATAATTATTATTTAGTTTAAATATAAATTTTCGGTAAAATATCATTTTTTTTCCTTGTAAAATCCTTTTTTTTAAATGGTCGAGTATTTTAAATAATTTTAGTCCTTAAAATGCAACCATTTTAATTTCAATTTCTATAATATTTTGTTCATTTTTAATCGGTACTTGGGAAAGGAATTGGTAAAGACAAAAAATAAATTATTCACGTATTACAAATATAAAAATGAAAAAATGAGTATATTATGAGCACTAAAAAAATAATTTTATAAAAAATATTATTTAAAAAAAATAATTTTATAAAAAATAAAACAAAAAAAGTACATTTAAGCATGAATACTGCCTTCTGACTGAAGTTCTAAACCAGTGACGCAGGAACTAAACAGGTAGTCATTTCGTCATGTAAAGCAAATAAACCTCAACATCATAGTAATTTACTTGAAGAGAACATTACATTTTCAATTTTCTTAGATCTTTCAAAAGAGTATGTTGCAACCTCCATTATAGGAGTATCAAATCTTCCATTCAAGATCCTGGTTCCACACAAGGGTACAAATTGATATCACAAACCATAAGACTTAGGCCTAGATTTGTTCTTACCCAAAGAATTAATTCGATTCGCATGTTCTTCTTCCTCCTCCAGCTTCTTTCTCCGAGCAGCCTCTTCTTTCTGTCTCTGAATCATTTCTAGTTCCCTCTGCCGTTCCTCCTCCTTTCTTTGCAGCTCTAGAGCTTCTCTTCTCTGAGATTCTTCCACTCTCCTTTTATTCTCTTCAAGCATCTTATCCAGCTCTTCTCTTTCTTTACGAGCTTGTTCCTTCAGGATGACAACAACACATCACAATCTTCAAGTGAAGACTTTAATAACATAAATGATAGAGAGGAGATCGGGAAAAAGCAAAAGGAACCCAATTAAGATTTTCTTTTACCCTAGAGATCATAAATAAAAAAGTAGTATGCATATTTTTAGATACAAGTCACGAATAACACATTTTGTCAGGATTTAAGCGAGACCCGTGGAGTGATAAGGTAGTCAGAGTGGTCTGGGGAGAGGGGCATAGGATTGGAGTGATAAAGATGGTGTGGGTTTGAATTCCTTCACTAACATAACAATTAACTATTAACATTTGTCAATCAAAGAAAAAAAAAGGGAGAGACATATTCAACACTGTTACCTGATGATTAATAGTGCTAATTAGTGAAGATACCAACACTGTTACCTTTAAGCAAAGTACAAATCATAAACCAGATCTGGAAATTGAATTACATATCCAAGAACCTTATAATAATATCATTAATATTTTATACACTGGCACGGCTAACTTATTTTAGGATCCTGGGTTCTGGCAGGGTGACACCTTGCTTACCAGACAAACTATGATTAAAAGGTATCCAAAACAACAGCTTAGTTAATCCACACCAGATTTATCGATTTTGAAAATATGACACAATGTTAATGACTTGAAACCCTCTTCAATGTTACACTATAATTTATTCAGAGAATGATACATAGCTTGCCATGATTTTTCCAACAGAGATTAGAGAAAAACAGAGACAAAATATCCCAGTTAGAATACTTACTTCTTTCCTTCTAGCTTCAGTAAGAGCATCTTCCTTTTCTTTTCCAAGTTGAGCTTCAACTTCATCAAACAATTTATTCACTCCCTCTGCTACACGCCTTTCTATTTCTATCCTGACTTCCTCTGAGTTCAGCTTCTCCTCAACATTTTTCCGAATTGCTTCTTCCAGTCTTCTTGCAGTCTCTTCTTCTAATAGTTTCAATTCTTCCTCATGTTGACGCTTGCTACCCAATGCAAACATTGAAGTCGAACAACGTAAGTCATTGATGAAAAAAGGAAGATGCACAAGCAACCAAGCAAATTATATTAATTTCTATACCCAGAAAAATAGATAAAATCATAAAATTAACGCTTCACTTTCAAATTTGTTTATTATGTTCCTAACCAGTTCACCCATTTGACACGGAAAATGTGAGCTTATTATGCTTACAAGGCATACCTCTAACAAGTTTCTGATCCATAACAAATGAAGTTTCTAGAGCAAGAGGAGATAATGGAGGCAGCCATTGTTCATCATATTTAACAAGTTGAACTTCCTTCAGAAAATCCAGTAGAGAAGAATGAAATTAACCTGTTGCATTTTCAAAGGAATCACTTATCTTCAGCAAAGGTGGGAATTAATTCAGAAGCATCTAGCTAGGCACCTAATCTTCAAACCACCAACGGGTCTACAACTTTCGTAACAAGTTAATTCTAGTACCAAAATCCTCGTATTCTTAAAGAGGATAATCCTAGCAATGAGAAGTATTAGCTTAGTTTTTAACTCTTCCATAGATGAGTAGTATCCACGACTTTGAATTATCTAATAACCACTCTATAACAAATTCCTTATTTCTTCTTTTTTCCCTTTGAAATATCATTGAGAGGGTAAATAAGTGAGCAATGTTTTAAAGGCGAGATATCATGTGTATAGAATAATAATGATGCAGTGAGAATCCAACTTAAAAGACTAATCCATTAGGTGAGAGAATTTCAAGACTTAAGTACCATAATGAATTTCATATTCTACTCAATGCGAGACTCCTAACATTAGTGTAAAGTAGCTTTACACAATTAACTTATCACAATTCATCACATATAATAAGTTTATAAACTTTTACAATAATTATTTTAAAAGTCCTACAAAATATAATTTTTGATAGATTGATTGAGTAAAAAATTTTACAGTGTCAGTGCATTATCATTAAACCCATATCATTTTTAAGGAAAATTGTACTCACATCTCTTGATGTATGTTTCAATAACGCAAACCTCTCCTCTAGTTTTTAAAAATCATTCACCTCCCTTAAAATAACATCATTAGTTAAAGTGATAGAAAGAGAAAAAATAAACGTCAATTCATATTCTGTCTATCATATACACATCTATTTTTTGTTTTTGAATTACATATAATACTTTGTCTTTATAAAATTTTCATTGTTCTTCAATTTTGAAAATAATAATTTGTCAGCTCAGTCTTTGAAAATCGTATATTTTTTAAATCACAACACACATGATATTTAGGATATAATTTGAGAGTTAAAATTGAGTAAGATATCAAGTCTCATTCAATTGTTGACACTTGCATAAATAATTTGTTCTCTCTTAATAATACACAAATGGTGTTATCTTACCTAAATGGTTGTATGTGTCACGTAGATAAATAAATCCAAAAGGTTAGTGTTCCCTTAAAAATTAGAGGAAATATGTGTCATTTAAAAAGAATTCAAGGAAGGTCACCGGCAATCTTTCCTTACTTTTATTATTATTCATATCATATCAAACAATACATTTTTTTAGGACATGTTTGAATAAACCGCATAAATATTTAGAAGAGCAGAAAATAAAAAAGAAAAAGAAAATTATTATCTTCATAAAGTAAAATTAATTTATGCACAAATTAAAAAAGAATTTTTTTTTGGGGATTTTAGTTCATAGAAGAAAAAAAAACTTATTTTGCTATATATTTTTTTTCATATTTTCTTTTCCATAAGTATTTTTAGAAAATATCATCAAACAAACCTTTACCACGATAACAAAAAAAGTGGAAAATAAGTGTAGCAAGCAGATGTTACGTTAGTAATAATTCCAACTTGGAGGAGTGGCGAACTGATTATACGTTACGAGAAATAAATATGAAATTCAGTTAACGAAAATTGTTCTAGTTGAGATCGATAATACGAATCAAATAAATTAAGACGGGAAATAAAAGCGTTATGGTTAGATACCTTTTGTTATGATCTTTTTTAGGCTTGGGAGTGGGGCTACGCGAAGGAGAGGGGGAGGAAGAGGTTTTGTGCCTTCGGCGGCGCTTGTGCGAAGGAGAGCGGCGTCTGAAAGGAGAGAGAAAGAGAGTTAAGAGTGATTGAGGTAAAAGATGAAAGAGAAGAGAGTGATGAAATGAATACCTTGACGTTGAGGTTCGAGAGTGGCGATGAGAAACGGGGGAAGGAGAGTGTCTTCTTCTGCGCGAAGGAGAGCGTGAACGTGACACGCTGCGACCCATATTTCGATTCTCAAACTCAAAAACCCTACTCGCTGTTCACCTCTTTGCTCATACTCACCAATTTTCCTCTTTATTTATTATGTCTTTCACTGCCAACCAAGTCTCTAATGTTTTTTTTTTTTTAATAATTTAAATAAGATTTTTAAAATATAAAATAAATATATGAACACGTTAATCAATGAATTTTTTACTCAAATAATATATTTTTTAAAAAAAATTTACCTAAATAGTAATTGTGCAAATTTATTTTCCTAACTAGCACCATTTACTGTTTGCATATTTTTTATTTTTTATTTTTGTTTTAGGTCCAGGTAATTTGGGAATTTTGCATCTGGAACGGCCCATTCTGCAACCAAAATGGCCCGTTCTGCATGCATTCTCGTTGTGTTTTTTTTTTTTTGCATATGGAATGGTCCGTTCTTAAACCAGAACGGGCTATTCTAGAGTTAAGTTTTTTAACATAACCTCAATGTTGGAACGACTCGTTCTAAACTAGGAATTTTAGCCCTTTTTAGTAGTTTGGAATGGGTCGTTCTGCTTTTAGAACGGCCCGTTCTGGCCAATTCTATGCACTATGCCTTTTTTTATTAATGTAATATGAATTTTAATGTTTAGCTTATAAACTATTATAATTATACATTATTTGGACATGTTTTCGTAGTGTGAGGTTATCCAAATTTTTCATTATTAGCCACAGTTTGACTCGTATAAGTTTCGAATCTATTAAGATAAGGTCTCATTATTATCATCTCGTGTTTTTAAGTTTAAGACAATATAGTTTCATACTTCAAAGGTATTTCCTTTAAATCTAGCTTCAAACTTAGCATTGTAGCGAACACAATTTACCCTTTCAACACAAACACAACATAGTTTCAAAGAGTAACATCAAGTAATTAAATTTATTGAATATTAACATTATAAATATAACTAAATAAATTTATTAAAACTCATTACAACAATAAAATCAATGGTGACGGGAACTAAATCCATGACTAGTATTTGGACATGTCTTCCTAGTGTGACCAGAAGTATGACAATAGGGACAATTTTTTACACGATTATGTTGTTCTCTAAGATCCATCTCTATTCTAATCTTGCTGGACTTTGGCCGACCCTTGGAAGTCCTCTTGAGTTCTGGATTTGGCCACATAGTTGGACCAATGTAAGTAGGCCAATAATCTTCATGTCGGAGCTCTCCAAACTATCATTCGTATACCTTTGCAACTTGTTGTAAAGTAAATATAGGAGATATCTAGGTTTGATGGTTGTGATGTGCATGTAAGCATGAAGCGAGTACATGCAAGCAAGGGATATGAACTTTCTGGAACTTGCCACAATCATACCACATTTCATCTAGCCTTACTGTAAGTTGATTGGAGGACTTTCAAATGGTCAAAGCAAGAGAATGGCTTTTCCATCCCATACATAAGCCTCCAGATCGACCCGTACTAGGAAGAGTGAAGAAATTATCGAAGCCCAGCCTCTTAAGACACTTGAACGCTTTGTCGTCAAAGCTGCGTCTTTCCACTAAAGCTACTATCGCCGGATGAATATTAGAGCAGACACTCTTCAAATAGCGATCAAAACTCGGCCCACAAAGACCACGTACATTCCAAATAAGCAAGGAATCCATAAAAGAAAAGGGGGGAAGAGATAGAAAGGCACGTGAAAGACATTACTCTAGGGCCAGAGTAGAGTCAATCTCCTAGCGGGTCGAACTTTTCTCGGATGCTACGTTTCTTCCACTAAAAATCTAGTGCTTGATCTGTCAAAGGTGATAACTCTATGAGTATTTGCCTTGGACTGTGCATCTTGAATAGTTTTACTTGCAATTTCTGAGTAGACATGTCCAGCATTAATCATTGCATCCACTTCCCTGCCTCTTTGAACGAAAAACTTGTTGTAATGAGTGTATGTGGTCATTACCATGGAACAAATTGGCAAATTTCTTGTTTTCTTCAATACAGAATTAATAGACTCAGCTAGGTTTGTTGTCATGTGTCCCTAACGTCGTCCATTGTCCCATGCTAGTATCCATTTTTTCCTAGGAATGTTGTCTAACCATTGGGCTGCTTCAGCATTAATATCTCTTATTATGTTGTAATAGTAAAAGAATCTAGGTTCAGTCATCCCATAGGCTGAAAAAAAACAATTAAATAATGAAAACTAATTATTAAATATTTAAAAAAAAGTAATGATAAAATTATCCATGTTGACGACATCCTTCTTCAATGCTGCATTTTTGAATCGTCGCATGAATTTTTGTGCAATGTGTCGAATACAATAGACATAGACAAAATTATTTTCTGTCCAACCACTTCCATTTCTTGAGTATGCACTTCGAATAGCCTCATGACGATCAGAAATTAGGCACAACCCGTCTTGCAGTGTTACATACCGCCTTAAGTTCTTAAAAAAAAAAACCATGCATGGCTAGTTTCACCTTCAGCAACAACAAATGCAATAGGATTTATGTTGTTGCGACTATCTTGCGCAACTGCGACCAATAACGTACCTTTGTATTTGCCGTATAAAAAGGTTCCATCAACTTTAACAATTGATTTGCAGAAGGAAAAACCATCAATGCATGATTTAAAGGTCCAAAATAACCTTTTAAATATAACATTTCCCTCATCCAATAAGCCATCTTGGTAAGCCGGTTGCGTATTAAATTTCCAAATAAAGCCTGGAACATACATTTGCATTGCTTGTAACATACCTGGTAACTTGTTGTACAACTCCTCCCAGTTTCCAAAGATGTTTTCAATGGCATGTTGCTTGGCCAGCCATCGCTTTTTGTAACTAATTGTATAACTCATGGTCAACTTGATGTGGGCTATGATGGTTGAAATGGGTGTAGATGGATTAGCCTCAATAATTTCATGAATGGTTTGAGAAATCATTTGTGATCCCAATTTATTATGATCTTGGGAGATGAGTGAAGAAACACATGTGTGAGGGCCTTTAAGGATCATGATTTCCCAATGTTGTTCTCTAGTGCGCAATATAGCACGACATCTCCATGCACAATCGTGGTGAACGCATTCCACGAGAAGCCTAGTAGTGTTTGAGTGCTTAACCTTGTAAGTACAATGGTTGACAATGTGAAATTTGTTAATGGCATCTTGCACTTGTTCTTTTGTTTGGAAGCGTTGGCCAACAAAGAGTGTTCCAGGTGGATACACAACCATTTCACGTTCCAACAGATGGCTATACTCAGTGTCTTGTTGTTGAATTTCATTGGGAAAGTCTAAAAAGTGTGGAGGTAGGTTGTATATGGCTACTAGTTCTAGTGGTGGATTATTTGGAACTGGAAGGATTTCTTCTTCATCATCATCTTGATGTTCAAAAAGGATTTCGTCTTCATCCTCGCTAAAAGGATCAAAGACATTTTCTGTTGGGAGACCAACAAGAAGATGATCTTCAATGTTGGTTTGAATATTGGGTTGAGAGGCAAAAGTTGTAGCTTGGTCAAATGGCTGAGAAGGTATTTGATCAAGGTCCATGACTGGACCAGTTAGAAGCTGTGTGTATGACTCAACGTCGTGGTTGGAGGGATTATATAAGAAGGGTGGGTTAGTGTTTTGATAACTTTGATAAATTTGGTATGGTGAAAGTGAAGGTGAAATTTGTGGTGAAAGTGAAGGTATTTATAATGGAAGGTTCTGACACCTAGAATGGGTCGTTCCAAAACCAGAACGGCTCGTTCCAAACTTCTAAAAAAGCCTAAAACCCTAGTTTAGAATGCCCCGTTCTGGGTGTCAGAACGACCCGTTCTGAATTTAGAACGGATCATTTCAGATGCAAAATTAACGCATGTTCAAGCAGAATGGGTCGTTCCAAGACGCAAAAAAAATATAAAAAAAAATAAGTGAATAGTAAATGGTGCTAGTTAGGGAAATAAATTTGCAAAGTTTCTATTTGGGTAAAAAAATTTTAAAAATGTATTATTTGAGTAAAAAATTCTATAACATGCATATATAATTGTAAAGCAATTATATAAATATATATGATATAGATTGAGTAATCCAGAAAAGTAAATTATACAATCTAAGTTGTTGGTCAAATAACTCCTATAGAATAACTATCAAAAGTGACATCAAAAAGAGATATCAACTCCATGATCCGCCAAATGGCCTCCTCTGTCCATCACCTTAAACCTATCACTACTATACTTTTATACCACATATAATTATTACAGTCCAACCACATAGAAACATGCAAGGATAAACTAGAGTTTAAAAAAATCAACATATACAATAATAGAATTATGAGCAATAAAGTACATCATCACATCTCATAATTAACAACATCAACACCACAACTCATTTAACACTAATATCATAAACAACTCAATCCATAACAACAAAAATGTCAACATGAGCATCACTACATTAACAACTCATATTTTCAACACAACAACACACGGTGATCTTTTTGGGCTTGTTAGATTAACAATAAATTTTGATATCAATCCATAACATAGCTTGGTTTCTCGGAAGTCATTACTTAAATTAAAAAGTTTAGTATTACTACTAGGGTATAACAACTTGGATATGAACCTATCAGAACATTAACTAGTTTAACTAAACCTCCTATGGGATTAGCCTACCGGCTAACCTCCAAATACTATGCCCCTCTATTTGTCAATTAAGGACTAAGTCCTCGACTTTGTACTGTATTCAAGTTGATTAGATAATCAATATAGCTCAACTTTGTTCCTATACTATGGTTGCTTTACACATGTATGTCTTGACCTTGTCCACACATGGTAGCAATTGAGGTTCTAGAGGAGTCTCAACTATTTTCTTCAAGGCTCAACTTTTCAAGAAGGATTTCCCAACAAATTGGACTCTTGAAACATCACAACACAATATCCTCGTAGTGGGATATGCAACTTTTAAAACAACTTTTTTTTTAGTCTTAAGTTGATCAATACAACTTTCAACACCATGCCTTAAGCATTATCAACTTCACCATCTCAAAAACATACAACATAATGCAAGCATATTCGACATAAATACTCAACTAAACAACATACAACTCAACTCAACTTTCAACTAGTCATCATCTATAAACATCATCCTAGATCAATATATATAACATGAACAACATTTATCAACTTACAACATTCAATAGATTCATCTATTATACTCATGTTCACCATTTGTGAAGTTAAATAATAAGTTTTTTTTATCAAACAACCAATGCCCAATGCCACTCACCTAGCGTCTAGTGCCATTGAGACTAGGAACTCTTTGCCTTACCAATGTCCAACATTACACAACTCACACCCGACGTGGATGAGGTAGAGACCTTGCACTTGGCTTGACAAAGTCCTACATTTGACCTTATTTCATAGAGTCTCTATCTAACTCACACTCGACATCACCATATTGGTGCCCAATGTTGTTTAAGCATAGAGTTCTAGCTTGGCAACACAAGGCACCACTCCACCAGGGGTCCAACATTACCAAGTCGAAGACTTTCTAGTGCTTTTATGTCTAACATCATTCAAACCATGGTCGATGTCATTTAAACTTGAGACAAGCCTTTTCTTCTCATGTCCAATGTCATTAATCTTGCATTTAGTGTGAATCAAGACATAGGCCTTTGATTGGAACTACACTCGACACCATGAAGGCGCGTCCGGCACAACGTGAGTTCTACATTTATGCAAATCACAATTTTAGCTCAATCCTCATTAAACTCAACCAAAACCAAACATGCAACAAAAGATATTGTTCTTACTTATCACAAGCATTTCATTTTCAACAAGAAATTCAAGATGTAACCATAAAATCATCACAACTCATCAAATTCACCTTCATAAACCCAAAACCCTAAGGAGTGTTTGGATGAGGAATATTAGAAATTCAAGGAATTTGAAATTTTTGACATTTAAATTACTTTGATTTTAATTTTCATCATTTTTGAAATATTTTGTTTCAATAAGTTAATTTAAATTTCTTAAATTTTAAATTCTTAGTTTGGATATGATAATTTGATTTCATCATAGTAAAATTAATTTTAAAAATATATTCATATGTTGAGATTTTTAAATTAAATTTTATAAAAATAAGTATTATCCATATTTAAATATTTAATAATTTTAAAAATTAATATTAGATAATATTTAATAATTTAAAAATACTTTTGAATATTCAATAATTAAAGTACAAAGAGATAAGATAAAATATATAAGTGGAATAACAAAAAAAAATGAGGAATTTCAAATTTTTACTTTTTTTTAAGAATTTGAAATTCTACTATTTTAAGAAATTTCACAAATGCTTAGATTTTAAATTATTTATAAATTATTCATCAAAATAAAATATTTTACTTCAAAGAATTTGAAATTCTTCAAACAAATGAATTACTCCATTTAAATTCTCCATCCAAACAAACTCTAAGTTTAACTACTCCCATCAAAACGACGCAGCTTCATGTGAGTGCAACTATTTAACATCTCAAACATAAAAATCAATCCACTAACAACCTAATAATTTAACAAATTCGAGAATCTAGTTTTCCTTACCTCGAAATTGAAGCAATTCAGGGGAGGAAAAGAAGAAAACTTCGAACAATTCAACACACAACTCCGAATGGATCAACAACTTGATTCAAAGTTCCTATTGACTTGAATTATAAATAAATAAAAACTTAGGTAAAATTTTGAGAAGAAATTCACCTCACTAGGGAAGGTTTAGAGAAGAAAGAGACTCACGAATTAGAACACTTCTTTCTAGAATTCTGAAGAACAAAACTTATGAAACTTAATTATAAACAAAAATCTCATATACCTTTTTCTCCAAGGTCAAATTAGACCTTTACCAAAGAAACTCCCAAAACTGCCTAAACTCATAAGAAATCATTGGATCCTAAAGTCCTTCAACACAAAACAACATTCTACACAACATAAAATTAATTAAAATTAACTACAACTTTTCAAAACTCATAGTGTTACATTCATTAACAGTTAAATTTTAAAGTTGTTGTGTCACCTGTCACAACTTAGGTGATGTAACATTTAGTGACATAATATTTAAAAATGAAAAAAATACAAAGTATTTTCATTTATAATTATTTTAATGACTGATTAGTATTTATTTTATTATTATTAAACCTTATTTATATTTATATTTTTCATTTTTAAATATTATATCACCACATGTTATGACACTTAAGTAGTAACAACTCATGAGTTAACACTAAAATTTAAGGATTAACATGTTAAAATCAATTTTTTTATTGTTAAATTTAAGGCAATAAATAACTCTAATTTAAAATAATGAGATTGCAATTGCAAATAAATAAAAATAGCGGAGAAAAGTACAATTTAAATTAGTTTTTTTTTTTTGATTGCTCATCAGACTCATATTTATGCAATTTTTATCTCTTTTTATTTTAATTTCAAACATCAAATTGGTTCAATTATTTTATGTAGATGAATATAATGAAATGAATTTCATGTCTTAAATGCCTTAAAAAGATATTTAAATTTCATCAAAAAAAAAAAAAATAGTTAGCCTACATGCGTACATTGCCGGTTGTCGGGTTCTGTGACTCTAATCCTGTAGAGCGTAGAGTGTCGATTAAGGCAGAAAACTTGCGTCATTTTCTCATTTGTCATTCTCCATCGACAGACAACAGGAGCTGAGGTCTGCGTCTCTCCCACAGGTTAGCCTCACATGCATGCTTCCTCTTCAACACTTCTTTTTATGTGTCATGTTGAAATGAAAACCATTTTCTTCCCCATTCATCTTCTCTTTTCTTTTACATGCATCAAATCAAACACAAACACACCCTTCTCAAATGTTTACAATCCACCACCAAAAAATATTTTCTTTTGCACAAGATACTTGCTGCTAATAACTCTTCCATCATTATCATTCTGCTTCTCTTTCAAAAGGAATAAATAAAAATTTATCATCATAAATTAACCCCAAATAAATAAATAAAAAATGAACTTTTTGTTTTTGGTAATAAGAAGAAATATAGTATAATTCTGAACATAAGTTAAACTAAACATGCAAACCAAAATCTGGTAGATAATGATATTAAGAGAGATTGAGTTATCGCCATTAATTGAGGCAACGTTGTTCTTCACTTCAGAACCAACTGTGCCACGGAATGGTACCCACTCCATCGAAGCACAAGGCATTGGCATTGAAGAAGCTATCAAGAAGCAGAACATGGGACTGTGAATCTGAAATATACAGTCACTTGCAAAAGAAGAAAAGGGTCCTCAAAAGTGGAACTGAAAAGTTCAACTACTTCAATACCCTATTGCAGGACTTCGTTGTAAATGATCCAAAAGGTGACCCCGAATTGGTGCAATTCATGGATGGTTTATATAACATTGTTCACTCTGAGACGCTTCATCTTCAGGACCCTAGCATAGACAACAATGCTGAAGAAAACACAGATGGTGATGATGATGAAGTTGTGATGATTGATCCAGATTGTAAGTATTTCTGGGATCATTTTAGTCCTCATGGAAACTCTTACGTACTTGATATTCCTGAGGATGGTGTCTTTATAAAGTATGAGCCTGAATTATCAACTCCTAAGAGTACTACTGCTATATGCACAATGGATAATACAAATCATGTTTCAAATGAAGACGTCAATGTGTGCTTAGACACAGAATTGCATGTGAATCCTGGTGCAAACTATAAGAGGCATAATGTTCTTAGCAGTGGTGTGAAGCGTAGGGGTAGGAAGCCAAAAGGTGCAAAACTCTCTGCTGCTATGAATGTTAATGTTAAGAGTAGTGATGTGACTTCAAAGGTAGAGAAACATGCATGTAACTTGAAGGGTAGGCGCAGGAATCTGAGACTGAAAATGCGTTCTATGAAAACTGATGCCCCATCTAGCTTGCCTAAAGATAGTGATGATGAAACACAAGATATAATCGTGCAAAGCCAGATCGTATGTTTCTAAAATTAAAAGTTCTTTTTGCTTATATTCAATACTGTTCATTTAGTTTTTGTTAGCTATATATTATGTGTTGCTTCCCTGTTGAAGGTGGAACATTTTTGGCATGAACACAATGAGGACATTGCAAGGACACTTTTTAAAGAAAAACTCATGGAAGAACTTAAGGTGCCTTACTGTGAGGAAGAGCACCAGAGGCTTTTAAATGAAATTACTGTTCGAAAGCGAGTCCAACACCATAGAGACCTGCGTGGGCGAATCAAAATCTATGAGAAAGATCATCTTGGAATGTCTTTTCTTGATTATAGTCCTGGTGAGTAAGATGTGGCCTTCTCTTTCATTTTGCACTTGCTGTGTTTGCATGTTGGAGTTCATGTGCTTGTCTGTGCTTACCCAGTTGGGATAGAAAGTTGCTTTTGTATAGACTATTAAATGTTACGGGTTTAACTTTTATACACTGACAATCAATTAGGAATCATCTTAAATATGACATTTAATGTAATTATTACAAAAGTCAGCAATCTTAGTATCTTACCATACATTACACTGTTAGTGCATTCTAATTTATTCTAAATGCTATTTTTGAAGAATACTAGTAACTACTATGAGAAGTATAAGATTTTATACATGTGCTTGTTTTGCAGATCTTGCAGAGAAGATAGAAAAGGCTAATGGTGATCATCCCAGAGTTCTGAATCTCCTGCGTGGATTCTTCTATTGGTTGAAAGTAAGTATCTTATGATATTTCAGCATCTCAATACATGTTATTTTATACAGCCTTTCATGCACTGCTCAATATGTTATCCTGAAAATATTTAACCTTAAAGACATTTCCAGATGTTTGTGTTGAGAAATATGGCAAGAGCTATAAAGAATTGAGTAAAAGTAGATAGGGTAACTAATCCCTCGTGTATCTAACTAATCTCCAACTAACCACACGTGTTAATAGTTGGGTATGTGATTTGAAGGATTTTGATTTTCTTCTGGTTGCTAGGCCTCAGTTGCCTCATTTTGTAGTTCTCAATTAATTTTCTAGATAAGTCAGCATATAATGGGATAGTCAAATAACTCGAACAGTTACCTCATTGTGTAGTTAGTTCTCTTTGTGACTATATGCATCCTTTTACTATGTAAAATAGTCATCATATTGAGAATATATGCTTTTATATCTTGGTCCACATTAGCCCCATTTTGCAACGCTACGAGGGAAGGTCCGTATCCTTCTGTGTTACAACTCACCTAGATCTTGATTTTCATTTATCTTTTATTAGTCCATAAAACTGGCACCGCTATCTAAAACTATCAATTTTGTGTGTGTGAATTGTATCATAGAATCGAAGTAAGCTTTACAATATTTACATTGCGGTATTACTTTGAATGAAGACTTGAGATATTAGAGGCTTGTAGTGTCTCTTTCTGATTTATACGTTGTGTGCTGGCAGAATTTATCACATGAAGGGGCATTCATGCCGTGGAAAGATGAATCTTGTTTGGATATGCTGCCACTACAATTGGAAGGATAGTTATTGACAAGTTTGGCACAGAAAAATGAATCATTCCATTGATGATAGAGTATGTTACATAACAATAGTAGGTACTATATCCTAACACCCCTCAAGCTGGAGTGTGTGGAAAGCACTCCCAGCTTGGCCATGAAAGTGGGGAAATGATAAAGGATCCAAAGGTTTAGTGAAAAAATCTGCAAACTTAATGGAAGATGAGAGTGCTAGTAGTAATAGGTGAAATAGCTGAGCTTGTAGTTTCTCTACCTAGCAATGTGGCAATATCAATAATATGTACATGCTTCGTTATTTTGTGGAAAGCTTGGGTTTCATGCAATGTCTGGCTTGGTTTGGTTTGGTATTAGGAACATGGAGACCATGCACAAATGTGTCAATTACAAATATGTCAATTCACAAGTGGTTGATAATACTGCAAAGTATTATACCTCTAAGGAGGATCAAGAGACAACTATTTGTTTCTTAAAAACGTCATGAAATTAGTGATGAAACCAAGAAAGATACATCGCGATTTAATTTTTGAAAATTATTTAAAATGTTAAACATTCAGAATTTCTGATTTTAATATTTTGTATCCAAATACAATAAAAGTAATAAAAACATATGAAAAAATAAAGATAAAAATCTTTATAATAGGCAAATATTGAAAAAGCAATTTCAGTGGATTTTGACAGATATTTATGGTCGGTCTAGAGCCAAAAAATTAAAACACCATGTGGCTGCTGGGATTCGAGCCCAGGTCTCCACGGCCACAACGTGGAATTCTTACCACTAAACTACAGCCACTTGGATGGCACCTGACATTAAAGTTTACTATTTATACTATATTTCGAACTAAACTCTTCAATTTGTCAGACATTTAAGTTAATAAAACCACATCAAGACATGCGAGTTGAACGCTGAACCCCTTATATATTTTAACTATATATATATATATACTATGTTTAAATATATAAATTATATATAAAATTTGTGTAATAGATATTTTTAAATATGTAAATTATATTTTAGATTTATAATAAAGATATTGTAATACAAAATTATTTTTATTAATAATTTATTTTAAAATGATAATATTTAGTTTATAAATAATTATAATAAATAAAAGTTGAAATAGATAAACAAAAATTAAAAGAATTCTTACAAATCGTTTGATCGAAAAATTTTTTAAAAAACATTTTAGTATAAGATAACAATTGATGTTTAATATATAGAGTTGATATAAGAAATTATTCTAGAAAGTGTTTTTTTTAGTAATAAAAACTGTTTTTACTTTGCATAATTTTGTTTGTTAAATTTAGGTATATCTTTTGACAAGAGATTGTAACAAATATATAAATACTTAAATCTTTTTATTAATGAAAATATTAAAAAAAAATTCACTTAGAAAAACAATTTCATTTAATATTTTTTTATCCTCCTTAATCTAAGCACTATATTTTTTTTAATGTATAAAAATTTAGAATAGATCAAAGTACGATTCTTAAAATTAGAGTCAATCATCAACCTTATTAAATTTTTTTTAATGAAATTACAAATTACATATTTCATCCCGTTCAAATTCGCATAAAAGAATATATATATATAAAGTCGAATTCAATATCGCGTCATTCTTGCAGGCAACCTATGCACCATATACCATTCGGATAGAAAAATCATTTAATGAATAAAATAAAACCATTTTTCTGCAATACACCTCAAATAGACAGTCGTAAAATTGCAGTCAGAATATCCAACTAAACTTTTGTCATGAATCACGTCAAACAATTTAAGTCCGAGTAGCTTTGTTTAGGTTCAGAACCTTAATGGTGTCCGAGCAAAGATGACACCAATAGTAGAATATTATAGATATCATATCCATATCCAATCAGTAAGTTCCTTTAATGAAATAATTAAAATTACATTGATCAATATACATAGATTTTTCATTGTTCAGGTGAATCAAAAGGGGGAAGGGGGGATGGAACCCAAAAAATAAATTGGGGACAGGAATACAAGGGGACTCAAAGATACAACAACCCCGGCATTTTACACGATAGCAGTCAATCTTTAATTTCATATGATACCCATGAACAAAACCCCAGAGAAAAGAAAGCGCTGTCTCGTCTCTGCCTGCACAATGCGATGATTTTCTTTTGAATTTGCTGAATCAAATAGATGGGGTCAGAGCCAAACCCTATACACTGCTACATTTCTGTTGCTTAATGTAAATAAGCCTGCTAAATTTCCATTTCTTAGAGTAAATCTGAAGAGATCTGACAATGAGAAAAATATAGCAATTGACAGATCTAACTTCTTGTTCCAACTGTCCAAGATTTATGTATCACTTGAAATGGTCTTGCCGGATAACTGTAATTAAATTGAAGGGTGGACCATCTTCCTCCTTCTGTTTCCAAGGTTCGCCATTGCCTTGAAAATACCAGGATACTTTTGGAGACAAGGGACTATATAAATCTGCACGTGTAGAATAATTAGGCACTATCCCCTAGTTTGTTCAGAAGGGAGGGGAAAAAATATATGCATTTATGAAAAGAGCATTAGTCTCTCATCTTAAACACAACCAGAATATAGCAAACAAATTCCAATCTCAGCCAAAACATATCAAAGTTACGTTAACAAATCTTAGTCTGTCAATGTTATCTATGTGCCCTCAACCCAAACATTTTCGGGTTTAACTTTCCTCTTTGAATGTGCCCTTATTTTCTAACAGAACTTGTTTTGCCATTGCATGGGTATATATCATTTATGCAAACTACAATTTTAATCTCCAGGTTCTTTATACAGGGATAAAAAAAACTATCTGTATCTAAGTTAAGAAAGTGCATTATAGGATGAAAAGAAGTCTTCAATTGGAAAATAATGGATTTAGGTGTATATAAAAGAATTAACTCTAATAAACATCAGAACCACAGTATACTTCTATCCCAGAAACTGTAAGGCTTTTAGCTCATTTTATGAACTCATCATTAATCTGACAGTGCCTATATTATAATAGTAATTTCCATCAAAGAATAAAACACCAGAGATCCATCAAGTAAATTCAAACTCAAGTGTTTAGCTTTGAGCAGGATGCGTGAATTATTGTAAACCTTCTTAGTTTTTAGTACCATATTCTATTTTCATGAATAAAAAAAGAAAACTAAATCATGTTAAGCAGGAAAAAGCAAATATTGCTACTATTATTAGGACTTGACTTAAAATACACTTATCAGACAAAATTCACGATGTTCAATTTTTGAAAATTAAATACCATATTAAGAACAATCCATATAAAAGTATTCAACAAAGAAATATCCATTAGGCAGTACTATTTTTAATATGATCTCAAAGCCTATTTAGTCTTGACATTGGACCACCTGGCACCTGCAAATATCCAGTCTTGGGCACAAGGTAATGTGTGTTCCACATCATCCTGAGTTGCACTTGAGTTAGACTCGGTTCATTTCTAATATTTCCTTTTTCTTGCTTTATTATTAGATTGTCTTTTTGGCCTCTCTTTGGTGCTCCCCTCAAGGTAGTTTCTTTCAAGGGAATTTTCCATAACATGCAAAATTTTCTATTGTCAAATATGTCAGGCCTTTACCACAATTTTTCATCAATTACCAGCATCTAGGTAAATAAATGACTATCTAGAAATCTGTCTACATTTATATAATTCCTTCCCCATTAAATTCAAACCCTGTTACCATTGTTGTACATGGGACCAGAGCAAAATCACCAAGATGACTTGTTCAATTGTATGATTGGTCGGCTTCTTTGTGTTTTAGACCCACCAACTCAAAAGTCAGACTGTGCAACTCGGATAGGGGGAAAAATTATGGGTTTTTTTCAACTAATCTCTCTTCTCTCTCATCTGTACTCACCTGACATTCTTCGACATCCTTTATTCAAACTCATCTGAACACTAGCAGCTTGTTTTTTGAGTTCTTTGTTCTTTTACATTAACTCATTGACTCCCATAGGAGCATTCTTTGTTTAGACATTAGTGCGCCTGATTGGAGGGACTGCTTAAACTGATGTAAGCCTAAGTCATTCCTAAACCATATAATAATTTTGTAATATATAATTTTATCCCAAATGCAATCATTGTACTGAAAATTCCTATCATATTAACCATATCATATCTACATTTCAAATTAATTCAAAACTATGTGATACCTCATTGGTATGCATCAAATTTAATGCGAGACATACTTTTAAAAGAACCATTTTGATTATTTTATTGTTATTGTTCAATTTTTAATTTTTTATACGATTTGACACACATAATTAAGGTAATATTTAGTTACAATTTACCATTAGACCGATAAAAATCACATTTATTATAAAATTATTTATGATATGTGAACGCATTATAATTATGACAGTATAAATCAATCCCTTCTCCCCCACACTCGTTCTGTCTCTACACATAAGGAGTAACTAAGGCAAAAACACTTATTGTGAGAAATAAGAATAATATATATTGACCATTAGATCTTATTAGAATGGTTAAGATTAAAAGATAAATGCACACCATGACATTTTTAAGTGGTCATGTAACTATTAATTAACTTTTAATCTTAATTATCCATGTTCTCAAATGAGAACTGTTTTTGTTACACACAATTTTGTATGTTAGGTAAGATCCCTGCTATGGTCCCATAATTTACGTGTTCCCCTCCCTTCCCAATTCTAAATAAGACCTCGTTTGCGACAACCTTGCTTGTTAGTCTTAAAAATTATATGAAAAAGCAATATCGCTTATTCCATGGTTATGGCTACTCGTATAATTTAGAATTGAGCAAGTTAACAAGAAAATATGAGCAATTTTCTCGCATTATCTAAAATGCAAAAGGTATAGTCTTTGGTGTAAACTGTAAACAGGCTATATTACAGGTCAAGCTATCCAATACTGATAAAGTTTTTTATTGCAGCTCAACAAAGGCACATATAATGAGGACCTTATATCAACAGAGGGCTCCTCAACAAAGAGGCTGATTCATTACCTGTATTGACTGGAGGATCTGGCTCTCTTGTACTATGTAATACAGTTGTTCCAGATAAAACAGTAATGAAACCACATAGCTCAGATGCAATACTGCTTACACTTTGACCAGAATAGTCCTAAACAATAAAAGCAGAAGAGCCAGGATTACAACAGAGTTGACCACTTAATCATAAAGATGTCTTTTCGGATGCATTTTTTAATTTGTTTCAGTAAAATACCAACCTTAAACATGATTGCACTAGCTAATATTGTAAAAGATGTGAACAAGGCATAGTAGATCGGAGAAACAACTGCTGTGTTAAAAGTATCTAATGCCTGCAGTCATGCCATGAGTTGGTCAGAACAGAAGCCTAGTTTGAAGACCAACTAGCAAGAAAATGATGAAACTAAAAGGAATGGAAAGAACAATCTTGTAAATAGGAATCGGACTTTAAGATTATTAGTTCTGGTGGCTCAGGTCAAGCATTACATGGATGTTATTTGGACTAGATGCTAGCATCTTTTGAACTTCTAGATCAGCTCAAGGCCTACAAATCATTTCTTTAATTGATATGATGATACGCAATTACTTTAGATGAAAACTTCAAAACAGACATGTTGATAATAGGCAGCAATGAAAGAAGAAAAAAAGTTGCCACAAAATCTACAAAATGCTCCCTCGTATGAAATACAAACAGAATGACATCAGAATAGCCAACACAGAATACCTATATCATTTCCTCAAAGGAGAATATAAACTCAGGCTCCAACTTTTTACCAAATACCAAACATTATTAAGTTCAGATAAAAGTTAACAGTGATACAGACCATATTAAGATAATTTAACTGAGTCACGATGCATGAAATAGCGACCATTGTAAAAATCCATGTCTGAAACTGAACAAACTGGTCTGCACCCTCAAGTGTAAGTCTTATAGCAATGCCAATCGCCTTTATGCTCATGACCTGAGAAACAGGATATTCTATCAGAAGCACAAAACCAAAGGCGACCTTGGGTATTGAGTTGTCAACTATAAGTACTTCAAAGATGAACTAGGTAGGAAGAGTCGCTTACAGTCAAGGATCCAATTATGGAGCATATTCCAATATAAACTAAAATATTAGTCTGGCCATAGCGAGGAGCACAATACACAATCAAAAAGACCGCTACAGCGATAGCTGAGGCCGTGTACAACAGGAATGCTGGATGCCAGAACACAAAGCAATAACATCATGCATATATAAAAAAAAAATCCAGCAAATATGTATAAAACACACAATCCGCATTTTCAGCCACATTTCATGTACAAACAATAAAACCTCAGCAAGCAACACAATAGCATACCCGGTTGAACAGCCATCTGCCATATTTCCTGTACAGAACTAAGACTCTTTTCTTGAGGTGCATGGAGCACAATCACAGTGGATCCCACAATGCACAAAAGACACCCGAGCATGCCCATTTTCTGCAGCTTCTCGTTCAACATGAAATGCGCCAAGACAGCACTAGCCATTCCCAGAGTCACAAAACAGCAAAATTAATCAAAATATTAAAATAATATAAAAAATTGAAGAAAAAAAAATCCGCAAGCGTTTAATTTTATTTTACCTAACAATAATACTCAAAGCACCAAGCGGCGTGACAAGCACCGCGGGGGCGTAAACGTACGCCACAAAATTCGCTATCTCTCCAACAATCACTGTAATTAAAAAAAAAAAAAACGAGGCCCAATATCAAAAGATAAAAGAAAGTGAAATAAATAAAAAAGGTTAGTTATATTTTTAGTCACGATTTTGGTTCTATAGTATATTATAATTGGTCCTCATGTTTTCTCTCATTTACGATCCAAGTCTTTTCATCCCTATTCCACCCAATATTAAGCACTATTGTGTGATGTCATGTGATGACCATGCATATTAGTTAATTATGCTAGATATTGGAAGAAAGGATGGTAAAAAATTGGAGAGAGTAAATCGGTACAATTGAAACGTGAAAGAGCAAACTTGCACAATTATGATAATTGAGTAACTAAAAATGCAATTAAAGGTGAATAGAAAAAGTTAGGTACTGACTGGTAACCATTCCGAGCCACCAGAGAGGTTGTAGCAGGTAACCGTAGCCTCCACCACCTGCGACGAGGAATTAGGCATAGCAATGGGAATAAGGAGTGAGGGAGAAGAGAGAGAGAGAGAGAGGTAACTGGCAGAAGAGCCGTTGAGAGTGGCGCGTTGGAGGCCTTTCTTCTTGATGATGAAGCTGGAGCCGATGAAGGCGCTGGAGGTGAGGGCCAAGATGAAGCCGATCAAATTGCTTGAGTACATGGTTAATGGTTTTTCAACGCAGATAGTGAAGTGGTTTTGGAACCCTAGGGGACATGAATGAATGAACAAGAACGAAGGAGGCTGAAGCTGAAAGTGATTCTATTCTGCGTTTTGGCGGGGCTCCCTCTGTTATTGTACTGTCTGCTTTAGTCAATGAGGTGGAATTGACGGGTGGTTTTAGTTTTGGTCGCATTTGGAGGGAGACCCAGAGAGAGAGAGAGGTGGAGAAAAAGTGTGAATATGAAATCATAATATTATATGAATTAATCATGGATATAACGTTATTACAAAGTTTTTTACACTAACAATTAATTATTTTTTAAAATTATTTATTTTATTAAATAAGCAACTGATATGGTATTATTAAAAAATATGATTGATTGTCAGTGTAAAGTTTTTTAAATTGACAATTAATTATATTTTTTAATTGTGTCATGTCACTGTTAAAAGTAAGGGGGGTGTATTGGATTAGGATTTTAAAGAACTTTTTTAGTTAAAAAAAATCCTGCGGATTTTAAAAGACTTTGCAGGATTTTCATGACTTTTAAGATTTTGCAAGATTCTACAAGACTTAAAATCAGGATTTTAATTGATTCTGCAAGACTTTTAAATTAGGATTTTAATGGATTCTGTGGGATTTTGTGGAGTTTTGACATTTGATAAGATTTAAAAAAAATTATACATTCAAATTTAAAAAGAGTCAAAGATAAAAATAATAAATAAAAAAAATAATGTCTAGATAAATAATAATAATAATTCTCTATAATATTCTATCCTCTTTTTATAGCATCCACTATCAATTGTAACAATTCATCGGAATCATCCTTAATCCAAGCTTCATAGTTTTCTTTCTCTTTTCATTTTTCTTTATTATTTCCTTGTGAATCTCCCATTTGAATTACTAAAACAATATATGTTAAAAAATAGTTATATAAATAATTACGGATAATAGACAAAATCAATAAAATTATATTATTATTTTTAGAAGCACACCATCATACAAGATCGAATATATTTTTGCTATCCAAATGGATCAAATACCTCAGTTATTATAAAAAAAAATTTAAAAACGAAAATATAGAAACATAAGATAATTTTTTATATAAAAAAATTAGTATATTCGATACTGAAAAAATATTTAGATATATAATTTTTTTTATATAAACAGAAGTATTTAGATATAGAGAATATATATATATATATATATATATATATATATGATAATTTTTAACGATATTTATAAATATAAATTATTCTAACAAATATTTTAACAATATTTTCTTTTTTAAAAAATAAGTTAATGAAGGCATAAATCCTAAACCCTAAAAAATTAGATATTGCAATGTCTTATGTTAATTTTCTTTTTTTAAAATATAAAAAATCTTAATTTCATAATATAAAAATAAAAAAGAAAAATTCATAGTAAAAAAAATAAAATAATTGTTGAGTCATAAAAGGAGGAGGGATAAGAGTAACAAATTCAAGGGAAAGAGAGAATTCGCAATTTTTATGCTAAGAGGGTTCTTCCCCCTACTAAGATCCATTTTTATCTCATTCTACTCACAAAAACCCTAACAAATTCATCTTTTATATATATATATATATATTTATATATATATATTGTTGAGATTATGATATCAATTTCATCTTTCACCTTTTTCTTTTCTTAACGTGTGTCATAAAAAAAATTACCACTTAAAAGTTAAAATTTCAAGTATTTTTTTGTGTTATATAAAGGAACAAATTCAACTACATAGAATAAAATAAAGTAAGTCAATTAAAGAGAACGAACAGAAAAATAAAACAAGTCAATGACACTATCATTTACATATTAGAGTTTCACAAAATAGGAGAATGGTATGAGAATAGTATTATATATGAGCAATGAACAATAGTGTAGTATTATTAGTAGAGAAAAAATGGAGAAGACAGGAGCATAGAAAAAAAAGATGAAAAACTCACTTGAAAATTCTTAAAACACTTGAAAAATCATTTCAAACAATCCTTCAAAATCCGATGGGTTTGGATGGGATTGTTTTATGAATCTGGTATTTATAGATAACACTAGAAAGTCTTTCAAAATCCCTCTCACACAACAATCCTTTAAAATCCTTAAATTTTTGAATACCAATGGATTGTTTTTAAGTTGTAAAAAATCTCAAATGAATACCAATGGATTTTAATGGACTCTTTAAAAAATCCTAAAAATCCAGATTGAATACCACTGTATTGTTTTTAAGTGACATAAAATCCTGATTGAATACCAATGGACTTTTTTACTCAAAAAAAGTCTTTTAAAATCCTACGAAATCCTAAACCAATACACCCCCCTAAATGTATTTATAGTGACATAGCACAATTAAAAGATATAATTAATTGTCTGTGTAAAAAAAACTTTACATTAACAGTGTATAGGTGATTAACTCATTATAATTTTTTATCTATAGCAAGAGTTAATCATCTATACACTATTGATATAAAGTTTTTTTACACTAACAACCAATCATATTTTTTAATAGTGTCATGTCAATTACTTATTTAATGAATAAAAATAAAATAAAATAATTTAAAAGATATAATTAATTGTCAATGTAAAAACTTTACCGGCAGTGTATAAATAATTAACTTCTATAACAATACACTTTGTATTCTAATTTTTTTCACCATGTATATTTAAAGATAAAAATAAAATGTATAACTGTTCACTATTTTGTATTCTAATTTTTTTTATCAATACATTAGCGCCGATATATTAAGTAGGATAGAATGAGTTTGTTTAAACTTCTTTTTTTTAAAGCTTTTTTTGTAAATAAAAAAATATTTTTATTTTTTATATCTTTGTCTAATTTTTCTACTTTCTTTCATAAATAACTCTTATCTTCCTTAATTAAAGGTACTTGTTTTGATTTTTTTAAAAAAATTAATAAACAAACCCAAAATCTCACGACGATTAAGAAAAAGGTAATAGAATAATTGTTTAGCAATGAGTTTTACAAAACAAATGGAATATGTGTACTTAAGTAATTGCTTGTAACAAATTTTGACAGCAAATCTAAGGCAAACAATTTAATTAACACAAATAACAATACATCAATGCAAATAATATATATATATATATATATATATATGTATAACTTCTTTAAAAAAAAAAATGGCTTACCATTCAAGAATGCAATGCAGATGGTATTCATGTTTGCAACAGG